CAAAGTGTCTTTACATCTTGTCTGTGATGCGTTACTTTATAAACTATTTTAGCCTAGTGTATAAAGACAGGTTATGTTTAATTCAGCTATACTTTACACAGTTCTGTCAGTAATAAAGTCTGGGTTTGACAGGTGTGAGCCCCCCCAAAAAATGAATAGACACTTTAAACTGTGTGATGCACAAAGTGGGGGCAATGTCTTTTTTTTCACAGGTCAAGAGAGTTTTGGAAAGCTTTTTTTTTTTTAATTTTGATATCAACCCACACCATTTATATATTGCTTTTTATATATACCATGGTTATATTTGTGACATTTCAAGATCTGACTGATAATCAGACATTTGAGCATGACCAAAAAGCAAAAGGTGAAGAAATCTGTAAGGGGCATATTCATTTTACGGTATGTTCTCCTTTAATATGGAACAAATGCACAACAGGTTGAAAACATACAGTTTGGTTAGAGTTGCCTTTGACTCTTTATGTACTGTTAACTGTTGACTGAAACATAATAAATGCTGGTTTCCAGTGTTTTTCTTTAGTTGCCTTTATATTTGCTAGTGTAATAGATGTGTTTCTGCATTTCCTTTTCTAATGTTCTTTTTGTATTCAGGGCTTTTCATTCTTGTAAGTGAAATGTGTTAGAGAAATGATACACTTGCCTTGTCTTGCCTAACTCAAACACATAAATTCTATAAAGATTTCCTTAAATTAGATATGTTATTTTCTCCATTTTCCATATAAATAATGTAAATTCAAAGAACATTTGTATAAGTAGTTTAGTTTAGTATAGTTTTTCTGTTTTGAAGTTTGTTTTTATGGTTTATTTGAATCAGTATCACAATTTGAAATTGGAAAGTACAGAGGGAAGGGAAAAAAAAATCTGTTCATTAACTTACACTAGAATTTAAAGCTTAATTATTCATCTATTGGGCGCCCCTGGAGCATTGGGTCCCTGGGGCCCATGGCTGGATCGACTTCAGGGTGGCTGGCTGCCGGCGGAGCCCAGGTAATCACCCCCCTGGCTCTCAGGCATTGCGTTGGCTGGGGGTTTTCCTTGGTGCTGTCTCTCCTCCTCCCTTGGTGGGGGGGATCTTCTGGGGTGGCCCCTCCTGGGCGCCTTTGCTCTTGGGATCCCTTTGGATGTCTGGGGCTTTGGGTTCCCCAACCCTCGCCTCTGTGCTCTGGAGGGGCGAGTCTTCGGCTCTTCACAACCACTATTGAGCATTTTTCCTTTGGATAAACTTTACATGCACAGGTGCACTCTAACAAACAACTACAGGTGCTTGGCCCCAGGTACTCAGAGATTCACTTCCATACAGAAATCCCATATTCTTATCTTTAGTTACCACAATATACATGTCAGATTATAATACTACATATACTCCAGCGATAGTATCTAGGTGTTACTTTATTATATCTCTTATACTATATCCGTTGTTTGTGCTGTTCTTCTTACATCTCTTTGCAGGTGATGAAGCAGACTGAAGATGTTTTATCGTTATCTCCCTTTTATCTTCTCTTTCTTTAATCTTTTCTCCTTTTCTTTTCCTTTCCTGTTCTACTTACATTGCAATGTCCATACAATCTTTAATACTCCCTGCATGAATTAGCGGACCACTAATGGGGATAGCCGTACTGCTCCACTTGTGAAAGCAAAATCTGTTGAGCTCTTTTTGGCATCAAGACAACTATTTTTATTGCCACATCACCAGACAGGACACTGTAAAAAAAAAATAAAAAGAATAATAATAAAGCTTAATTAAATGTATTGTGGAGGATTTTTGCGAATTATTTAAAAGACCTGCCCTCTCCACTTAAAAAAAAAACACTCATGCACAACCCTGTACCCCTGCTGCGAGGAAACACCTATTAAATGATGCAAGGGCATGCACAAGCCCATTTCTCCTTGTACACGCTCTGTTTAAAAGTTGCTGTTCTCATAGCTCAAAGAACCTTACTGTGCCTGAACATAGACCCTAACCCCTAAATCCCTCAATCACTTTATAAATCAGGGACTATAAAGTGGATTTTATAGCAAACTCAGTTAACTGACCGTTTATGCAGATGACCACTGCTTTTTGCTCCCCGTTGGTCTCGTAACTCCTCCACCACACAGTGCCTGTGCCATCTTTGTTATTAGTCGCCACTGTCAGGTAGTGACAGGCAATGGTGACAACGGGCCACTGTGACAGCAAATCCCATAATGCTCTGCAAGGACAGCTCTCCTTAGGACCACCTTATGTGAACATATCACCAGAATGATTGACAATTAGGACGACCACTTATTTAGATGATCCACCCGAAAATAAAAGATTGTCTTCTATACCTTTAAGTATGTTATTCAACTCCCAATGTTGCATTCTTATATATCATAGTCATTCCTAGGGTTGCCAAATGTCCCTTAAAAAATTTAATTGTTCTGTATTCAGAAATTGAAGTACCTCTGCCGTATTTAGTGGAAAAGGAACGCACTTTGTCCCCTATTACTGTGAGAGTAAGAAAATTGTCAGTAAAAAGCTAATGGAAAATGAAGAACAAGGGCAAGTTAGAAACAAACCTTAAGGTAAACTTGTTCCCGGGTCCTGTCCTGCGTTGTGACCAATAAGCTGACAACATATATGTATTGATTCAGAATACCCTCATACCATTGGTCGAGCCAAATGTTGCTCACGGAAAAGATAGCGGGAGACAACAGAGCAGTTTGGGGGACCAACGGAGTAATTCAAATGCTGGAAACTGCCTTTTGGGGCGGAATAGTACGACAGAGTATTAGGGCTAGGCTAGAGATTTTTTTTCTTCAATTTCGAGATTAAAGTCATAACATTATGAGAATAAAGTCATAAAATTATGAGAATAAAGTTGTAACATTACGAGAATAAAGTCATAACATTACGAGAATAAGAATAAGAAAGCTCAGAGCTCCGACCAGCATATAACGGCCGACCAGCTCCACCAAACAGAAACCTGAGTCCACTTTGATCAACTGCCCAATCTGATGCTGGTGTGCTAAAAGATTTTCTCATTTGTGAAACCAGAGCCAAGGTATAACTTCACATGAAGCTCGGAATTCCTCATTTTACGGAAGAAATTATTTTTGTAAGAGTTGTCAACAAATACAACTTGTTTATCGTAATTCTAAGACTTTAGTCTCTTAATATTACGACCTTATCTCATTATTTTAAGACTATTCTCGTAATGTAACGACTTTATTTTCGTAATTTCACGACTTCTTGTAATGTAATGACTTTATTCTTGTAATGTTACGACTTTTTCTCGGAATTTATGACTGTATTCTCGGAATTTTACGACTATATTCTCGTAATGTAACAACTTTATTCTTGTAATGTTCTTTTTTTCTCTGAATTTTATGACTTTATTCTCATAATTTTATGACTTAAATCTCATTGCAACTTTATTCTCGTAATGATACGACTTTATTTCCGTAATTTTATGACTTTATTTTCGTAATGTTACTACTTTTTTCTCGAAATAGAAGGGAAAAAAAATCTCTAGCCTGGCCCTTATACTCCTACGAATACGTCGTACGAGTATTCGAGGTCAGGCTAAAAAGGCTGTAAAAAGAAAAAAGGATGCAGAAATATAGGGAGGAATGGGAAAAAACAAATACCTGGGTGGAAATAGTCAGCGATAAAGAATAAAAAGCACACTGCAAATATGAATCTAATTCAATGCAAATTTGAGTCAAATATTTAAAAAAAATAATTTCACACACAAAAGGGGGAGTGTCACTACGCCAGGAGGGTTAAAGGCAACCGGGTCCGGAGGCAAGCTCATGAGGTCTCCCTTTTTCTTTTTTAAGGGAGTTGGCGACCCTAATCATTCCTTTATCAAAATCAAACTTTATGAAACACCGAAAAATTTTATTTTTGACTGGTTTAAGCACATACATTGTGTTTTATACAGAGCCCCCTGGGTGTCAGGGTAAAAGAAAAAAAAAAAAAAGCCGGTGGAAATCCGTTGGCACGGATTGATTGAGCGCACAGATTGAGAAACTGTGCTCTCGGTTTATTAATCCGTGCCACCGGATTGAGAAACTGTGATCTCGGTTTATTAATCCGTGCGCACGGTTTGAGAAACTGTGCTCGCGGTGTATTAATCCATGCCCGCGGATTGAGAAACTGTGCTCTAGTTTTATTAATCTGTGCCCGCAGATTGAGAAACTGTGCTCTCGGTTTATTAATCCGTGCGCTAGGATCAATAAACTGTGTGCCCTGCTTTGTATTCCGTGCGCACACAGCGGAACAGCGGAACCTTCAGAGTTTGATGCAAGTTCAAGCTCTAAAGCATGCTCATTAAAGCATCGCACTGCACTAAGTCTTTATGTTTATATGTATATATATATAACAATTAATTGACAAAACTTACCTTGTGGATGTGGCCCATGCATCAAACTCTGAAGGTTCCGGAGCAGCTGTGTGCGCACGGAATACAAAGCAGGGCTCACAGTTATTGATCTGTGAGCACGGATCAATAAACCGAGAGCACAGTTTCGTAATCTGTGCGCATGGATTGGAAAACCGTGCGCTTACTTTATCAATCCGTGCCCACGGATTTCCACCGGCTTTTTTTTTTTTTTTTTTTTTACCCTGACACCCAGGGGGCTCCGTAGTTTCAGCATATACAAAAGCAAAGTTATTTTAACTTAACATGATGCCTCTTTTAAAAACATACTTATAATCAATTATATTAGCTAAGTTTGATGCACTAACAAACAAGTTGTCTCTGGATTCTGTCGTTCATATTATATCAATAATATTTAAAGAAGAAGCTGATCATATTTGCACAACTTTTACATTTCTGTAAAATTGTCTGCATTCCTAAAGTCTGCCCTCATGTTGGGCCAGTATCATGGTTACTGGGTTTGCCGTGCGTTATCACAGCACGGGACCTTCTAACACCAATAGTTTTTGTTTTTTCCACCCTCCATGTGTCTGAGTTACAGCGAGGATTTCGCCTCGCCCGGAGCGACGTCACATTAAGGTGGAAGAAGACGAGCTCATTTTTCCAGCCTGTTCTCATCTAAAGAAAACACGCAGACAGACTGAGCGGGAGGAGAGTCGCCTCTACCTGCAGCCTGTGGGCGCCCTCAATTATTTCACCAACTTCTTCATCAGCGCGTCAGCTCAGAGCGCTCCTCATCTCACTGCGCAGCGGCTTTTTCTTACCTCCGCTGCGCGTCTCTTCCTCTTCTTGCCTCACAGAAGTGGAACTGTGACAGAATCTGCAACTTAAGAGTTGGATCATTTCCGTGCGCAGTCTGGAGTGTTTTCCTTACAGACCACATTGAAACCATGTAATTGCGCTGTGACAGACAAAGCAATGCGATAATGAAGAGGTTAACCACACCTTTGAGTGCGGACATCACTTCTCTGGCCACTTGACCGGCTTTGCTGAGCATTAAAATGCGCCCCAGTGAAGAGGAGTTGGACTTTTGCGCACTCCTTGACGGACACTTTCCAGAGAGCGTTGACTGATCCGCGCCGTCATAGAAAAAAAAACAAACAAAACAAACAAACAAAAATCAGTCGGACCTCCTATGATTCTAAGAAATAATCACAGTCGCTGTTGGCTGAGGTCGTTATATTAAAGTTTGGCGAAGGGAAAAATCTCCTTGCGGAATTGCAGCGGTCAACATGACGGTTCGCCTCTCAAGGATCCAGCTGGCCCTGTTCTTTATCTTGCTCTGTCCGGTCAACATCATTGGACTGTGGTGGTAAGTTAGCACGTGGGTTCAGTGTCCCTGTCATTGTTTCACTAAGTATGGGATGTTATTCATGTACTGTACTTCTCCTTATATTCCTGGTGTGCTCTAAATTTTATTTATCTGAGAATCAGCTTTCAGGAATGCAAACTTTCAGTTTCATAGCTGGTAATAATTATTATATTTTTTTCTTTACATAAAAAAAGTAACCCCAAACAAAATTTTAAGACTTTACTTAATAAACAGCAGATTAACATCACATCATTCAGAGTGATGGATTTTTAAGGATATTTGTCTTCCATAAAAGATGACCAGCTTATTAAGATGTTAACTGGCCTTTTTCCCCTAAGGATTACACCCTAAAACCCTAAAAAAAAAAGAGAGAAGAGAAACAGCCAGGTTTGTGTTACAGTGGTACGTTTTGAAAATTAGAGCTTTTTATTCAACAAAGCTTCTTTCCCTGATGTTAATTTGTTAGAATCATTCAATAGCTTTAAACAACATTCACTCAACTGATGTACTGATGTTTGTTTTTTGAATTTTGATTCATTCTATGGCTTAAAGAGAGATACATATCCTGATTTAAGGTACTGCTTACCGCATTAGACACCGCCTCTGACAATATATTCTCAATGGGTTGTTTATTGGTATATTTGTGATTTTTAGATTAATGATCATCATATATCTCTGCAGTCTTTCAGGATGTTTTGTAAATGTATTTGAAAGGGGGAAAAAAACTTATTTTAAAATACCTTCATCGTGTTTTTGCTCCTTGTAAAAACCTTTTTTTCATACTAATCTTTCCAAACTTTTGTGCACAAATAAAAACTTCAGCAAGAATTGTGGAGAGATTAACTATTTAGGCTGTTCTTGAGCAATTTCTACCTTATCTGATTTGCCTATTTTTTCTGAATTCATTTTTTTTTATATATTTGTATAAACAGTTTACACAATACAATTATTGTACTAAATATTATTCAACAGAGGCTGTGGTTTTATAGATTATTCACAATAATGCTTCATATGGTTTTGACCATAATCTGATTTTCCTAAACCCCAACTGGTCAACTGACTGATGCTTCTCTTATCATAGTGTGTAAAAGAAATAAAACAGAGAGGTAAAAAGGTGAGTGTGCTCTTTGTTGCCTGCAGTGAGAAAGGTCTGTAAGGTCGGTTAAGGTGTTGCTGATGATGTGTGTGTCTCTGACGGGAGTTCATGTTAAGGAATGTCAGGTGGCCCTCTAGGCGCAGTGGATATGTCATCATAAAACAATCCATATAGGCTCAGCTCAGTAGGATGGGTGACAGTTGAACAGACAGATGGACATAGAAGCCCAGCAGATCTACTGATAACATATTTCCTAATAATGTGAGTTTTTGTATATATGATGCTTGTAATTCTAATGTTTCTGTTCCCATCTCTTGCACTCATGCATGCACACTTCTGCAGTGTTTAATAGTGGAGCTTTGTGTTTTTTTTCTATTGGATCCTCCCACTGTTCATTCATAGCACAGTCAAGGTCAGTGTGGGATGTAGTGTCACTGAGGCACTGTAAGTGCATTTACTTGTTGACTGGCAGGAGACTGGGCTAAGCTTAGCAGTTTGGTTTCTCTGATCAGGGGTGTAATTGAACAGAGCATTACAACTGCTTTGTTATCATACATTTAGCATGTTTGGAGAATGTAACACACTTATACCATTGCTTCCCCACAAGGGTGCAGCAATATACATTGGTCTTTTCTCTTATATTCTTTATGGACAAGAAAAGACCAAAATGGATTCAGGGCCCTGCAGTGCTCTCTTAATCTCCAGCTTCCAGCCTTTTCTTATTCTTATTGTATAACACTTTGTGCAAATACATATTATGCTCTGTTCTTATTAGACATTACTGCTTGAAATAAAAAAGGTTACGTGAATTTTGCATTTAAAAAAAAACCTTGCATAAGATTTGGAAAAAATCGGACTTCAGACGAGTGTAATGGCTGACATGTTCTGCCCCCTGGCAATGCTAAGAAATGTGCAGGAGACAAAAACAGCTTCTCCCACAGCAATGGAGAACATTACTTTGAAAATAATACTGGATTATATATATATATAAAACTAATACACTTAAAATAACTACCTTCTCTTTAAATTATGGCATTATTGGACTCACCTGGTTAAAGTACAGCGTAATGTAGCATTTACATAAAATCATCAAACAAAATGTAAAGCATTACATTTGCCTTTATTTAAAAATGAAAAGCAACCATTATTACAAAAACTGTTAATATAATGTAATATATATTTAAATTAAGTAATTTCCAACATGGAAGGATTGTATTTTGATGTAGGTGTAAGCAAAAATATAGTGTGGTACTTTTACTCTGGTACTCATATCTTGCCAGCCAGGGTGACAGTTATCTCTTCTTTATTTAACCAATTGTAAATATTAGTTGTTTTCCAAACTTCCAAGCACAGAAATGTATTTATTTTTCGATATTCTTGTAAGCAAATCAGAAATCCAGAAACATTCTTTCAGCCAGCTAATAGGAGGAGTGCAGCACCAGGTAAGGAAGAGTTGCGATATACTGCTGCACAAAAACTTTGGCATAACCAATTGCATCACAAAGAAATGACTGAATGTTGTAAGGTATAATGCACTACTTAAGCTGTTTGGTTTAATTGGGCTTTAGTTTATTTCCATTACTACTTTGAGTACTTTAAAAAAAATACAAAATTTAAGTTGTTGACAATTCTGGAAAAAAGAGGGGAAGAAACAATAGATTAAGATAAAGATAATAAAGCAAAACATAAAGTCTACCTATAATGTAGAAAGATAACTAAAAGTAGGTGAAATTTTATAGTGCAATTTTTATTGGAGGGTAAGTATAATTATCAACCAAAGTAGTAGGCATTTTGGGTCCTAGAATAAAATAAGAAAAATCATATCTTATCATAAACGCTTTATATATAAGTATCTTATTTAAGGGGGCAAATTTTCCAATCCTTTACCAGATGATTTTACCTACCTCATCAGAGGAAAGAAAAATACAATCAATTTAAATAATAAATCCTTTAAATTGAGATTTGGATGTGATATGCTTCCTGTAGCTATCTATCACAATTAAAAAGCTTGACAAATTGTGTTGATAAGCTGTGTGATTGTCTCAGAAACCATTGCACATATTTGTTTAAGGAATCAGAAGCAACCCAATGACTCATGTAATGTAAAATAAATCCTCTTGTCAGATAAAGTATTTCAGTCAGTGCGGTCCATTGCCAAAGATAATTTATCTGGTTTGATAAATCCATGTAAGAGGATAAGTGCCCTCTTCAAATAGAGTAAAAAAAAAGTCCAGAGGAAAAAAATAACCTGTAAAGTATTCCGACACATATAGTAAAATAAGCAATACATTGACTGTGTTAACATCTTAAAAAAACTTTTAAGACACAGTGTATAATATATGGTTAAGCTAGTGTATAATATATGGTTAAGCTATACATAAAATTATCTTGGTGCTGCTGCCACCTTATACCAATTTGAAATTTCACCCTTGTAAGGAGTAAAAGACAATTCATTTTTTATCTCTTTGCAGTTTTTCTTAAATAAATTGGCACCATCCATCCATCCATCCATCCATCCATCCATCCA